AGTACGCCATGCCCAGCTCCACCCCGCTCTACCACAATGCCATCAAGACCATCGCCACCTCAGACGACGAGCTGCTGCCCGACCGGCCCCTGCTGCCCCCCCCACCACCACCACAGGGCTCTGGGCCAGGTGCGAGGACAGGCCGGGGCCCCAGGGAGGCCAGCTGGTGTGGGCACTGGGATCGGGTAGCACAGCTGTGGTTGTGCTGACTTTTTTGTGCTTCTGAATGCCCTGGGCATGGGGGTGGAGGCTCCGGGATGCTGTTCCCACTCACTGGAGTCATTAGTGAAATGCAGCCCAGAGCACTCGAGTGGTCTTTCCAACACCTGGTGGTGTCTGGCGACCTGAGCCAGAACTTGGTCTCTTGGCTTCTAGCTTCAGTGCCTCCAGTCCCTTCCCTCCCAGCCAGGGGAAGCCAGTGGTGAAAACTCCGACCCCTGGCACCACCTGGCTTGGGAGTGGGGAAGGCCTGAGCCCTGCACCCTCCCTAAGCTGGGCGCACCGTGCCTGACCCCCTGTCTTTATTCCCTACAGGGATCAGCAACAGCCAGCCCAGCCAGATGCACCTGAACTCAGCCGCTGCCCAGAGCCCCATGGGCATGAACCTGCCAGGCCAGCAGCCCCTGTCCCATGAGCCCCCGCCCGCCATGCTGCCCTCCCCCACCCCTCTGGGCTCCAACATTCCACTGCATCCCAACCCACAGGGGACAGGAGGGCCCCCTCAAAACTCCATGATGATGGCCCCAGGGGGCCCCGACTCCCTGAATGCCCCATGTGGCCCGGTGCCCAGCTCCTCCCAGATGATGCCCTTCCCCCCTCGACTGCAGCAGCCACATGGTGCCATGGCCCCCACTGGGGGTGGGGGCGGGGGGCCTGGCCTGCAGCAGCACTACCCGTCAGGCATGCCCCTGCCTCCCGAGGACCTGCCCAACCAGCCGCCAGGCCCCATGCCTCCCCAGCAGCACTTGATGGGCAAAGCCATGGCTGGGCGCATGGGCGACACATACCCACCGGGTGTGCTCCCTGGGGTGGCATCAGTGCTGAACGACCCCGAGCTGAGCGAGGTGATCCGGCCCACCCCAACGGGGATCCCTGAGTTCGACTTGTCAAGGATCATCCCCTCTGAGAAGCCAAGCAGCACCCTCCAGTACTTCCCCAAGAGCGAGAACCAGCCCCCCAAGGCTCAGCCCCCCAATCTGCATCTCATGAACCTGCAGAACATGATGGCGGAGCAGACTCCCTCTCGGCCTCCCAACCTCCCAGGCCAGCAGGGCGTCCAGCGGGGGCTCAACATGTCCATGTGCCACCCCGGACAGATGTCCTTGCTGGGCAGGACAGGCGTGCCCCCACAGCAGGGGATGGTGCCCCATGGCCTGCACCAGGGGGTCATGTCCCCTCCACAAGGCCTCATGACCCAGCAGAATTTCATGCTGATGAAGCAGCGGGGCGTGGGGGGCGAGGTCTACAGCCAGCCGCCCCACATGCTCTCCCCGCAGGGCTCCCTCATGGGCCCCCCGCCCCAGCAGAACCTCATGGTGTCCCACCCCCTTCGGCAGCGCAGTGTGTCCCTGGACAGCCAGATGGGCTACCTCCCGGCGCCAGGCGGCATGGCCAACCTGCCCTTCTAGAAGTCGCTGCTGGGGCTGGAGCCGGGGCAATGTTGCAAATACGATAACCTTAACAAAGTTCTTCCCCTCAATGTTGGGATGGCCTGGGTCGAGGGGTGGGGTGGAGGGGGTGGGAGGGAGCTTGCGTAGGGAGTGGCATTTGTGGAAACCAGATGTGCTGGCAGCTTAGGGGGATGTGGCAGAGTGGGGTGGGGGGATTTTGGATTGGGGTTGGTTCCATTTTGGCCACCAGGACTGCCCCTCCCCCACTCCTCCCAATTCCTATAGAGCCTCTCTATTTTACCTCTTTCCCTGCATCCCTACACCCGCCACACCCCCTTCAGCTATGCTTTTGGAGTCCTGGATGGGATCTGGGGGGAGAGAGGAAGGACAGGTCAGGTCTCCCCCAGCCCCTTCTGCTCTTGTCTCCTCGTGTCCACATTGCTGGAGCTCCACCTCCCTCTTCGTTTCTCTGCACCCCCCCCCATTTTCCTTCTGTCTTTACCTGCTTCGTATCCTTTCCCTGCTGATGTGGCTGACCCCTCTCCCACCCCTCCCTGCAGGCGGCTGGCCAGGTGGGCAGGTGCCAGCCGGAGCTGTAAATAGAGCGCTGCGCTTTTGTGCTGGTTTGTGCGTGTGCTGTATTTCTGTGTTTTGATAGAAGTCACACAAAAAAAAAAGGATAAAAGAAACCCTTCCCCCTTCTTCAAGTTATTGCCCTCTCCATTCCCTTGGACCCAGGACGTGTGGCCCTACATGGCCACCCACTGTTTGCAGTGTCTCTGAGTCCCTAAGGGATACCATTCCTGTCCCCTTCCCAAATGGTAAAATGACGTAAATGCCCCACTCCTAAACTGAGGTCAGACCACCTAGGCTTCCACCTGGTGAGCCCTAGCAGGGCTGAGACCCCCAGGGCGGCAGCCTGTCTGCTGCTGAGTGATTCCGGGAGAACATGTGTGCACACGCACACGTGTTTGCCCACACCGGTGACACGGGGCCCTGGCTTCCCACTTTCGATGCCTGGGCGTCCCCCGCTGCTACATCTTAGCCAGAACTTGAAGTGTTTTGTCCCAGTTTGGGATGAAGGAAAGGAGGAAGAGGCGGTGGCTGTGTGGCCCCCTTGAGTGGAGCCATGGAAGGTGTAGCATGGTGCCATTGGGGCCTGTGGCTGCAGTAGCCATGGGCCAGGTAACCTCCAGGGCCCTGACTTCCAGAGGCTGCTGCCACCTACTTCTTATCAAAGAAGGGGGAGAACAGTTCATCTGAGTCAGTGCACCTCCCCTCCAGGCTCCACCCCCTGAGGATGGAATCGGCGAAACAGCATCCTGCCGCCTCCTTTCTGCCTGCCCACTCACCGGCTAGGTTGTCCCTCTGCCCAGGGCTCAGGGCCATGTACCAGATCTGTCTGTGCCCACCCAGGCACAGCCACTGCCTCCCCCTAGGCTCCCTGCTCCTCCCCAGGAGAGCTCCCCATCCGCCTTTGGTCAGAGCTGAAGCCATATACGACTGGGTGTTTGTCCCCTACTTTGGCCCCAGGAGTAAAAAACTTCTCCTTTTCTCACTTCCTTTCCTGCCTCGGGAGGTGGCAGGGCAGTTCCCTGGCTGAGGCCTTTTGCGCCCCGCCTCCAGGGCCAAGGGCCATTCTAGACAGGGTGTCTTCTACCAGGACCAGTCCCTAGCCTTCCTGGCCTGGAGGGCCTGGTCTCGCACTGGCAGCTGTAATACAAAGGGAACTTGCCCCACTTCTCCCAGCCTGGTGCTGTCCTCTCGGCCCACCATCGGCCAGGTCCAGCGCTTCCTCTGGGGCTGACAACAGGCCCCTGACTCCCCCCGGCCACCTCCCAGGGGCCATGGCCAGGGCCTCTGTGTTTGGGGGGTCACTTGCCCTTCATCCTGCCAGGCGCTTTGCCCGCCCTGCCTCAGCCTGGGCCCTGTGCCCTTGAGCCCTCCACCCCTGGCCCAAGACCCCCCAAACTGTCTGACTCTGTGTTTCCTGCCCTGAGGAGAGAGGGGTCAGATCGCAGTGGGCCGAGTGCCCTCTCCGTCCCCTCTCCTCCCACCCGCGCCACAGGCCAGCCTACTCTTCCCTCCATCCATGGCCATACCCCTAGCCATTTTGTACCATTATATAAATATATATATAAATATAAATATATAAATACAATATGTGAAGACATCTTCTTGGTTTTTATTTTGAAACAATTTTTAGGCTTGTTCCGGGGGTCTCTGTGCTGCCTGTACTGTATTGACCTGTTTTATAGGTGCCTTTTTATTAAAAAGAAAATTCAAAATCCAGCCTCTTGCCTGTTTGCCTCTGCTTCAGACTCCTCTGTCAATTAGATTACCCAGCTTGCTAGGAGATAGAGAAAAAAGGCCTGTCCCAGGTCTTCCTTGTTGTTCCCCCGTGAAGACACTCTCCCCTCAGCTACAGCTGTTATTTCCCCAGTGGGGCCTCCCAAGGAGCTTGGCTGCTTGGCTTGGTGGGACAAGTGCAGGGGTCCCTGACTCCCTACCCGATCAAAGGGTGGGGAGGTGGGAGGGAGTGCCCAGAACTGTGGGAGGGAGGTGGGAGGGAGTGCCTCCCACACCCCAGGTGAGCAAACAAGCACGGAGCAGCTTCCTGCGGTTCCATCTGAGTGACATCCTCACAGGGGCAGGGCACGGCTTCCTGGGGCCTGGGGACTTCCCTGCCCCAGTGTGTTTCTTACACTTCCCTGCCTAAGGTGATGCCACACAGGGGATGGTTGAGATGACTCCCACAGGCCCCTTCCAGTCCACCTTTCTCCATTCGGACTCTGAGTTTCCTCGGGTCTGTAGCTTGTGGGAAGGGAGTGAGGAGGGGACAAGCCAGCCTCCTTCCCCATCAGTGCCCACAACCTCCCATCCCCTGGACCCGGCCACCCTAGGAGCTCTCCACCCCACTCCGTCTCACCTAGTGGAGGGGACCATCGAGTTTCACTGATCCATGTCCCTCCTTGGGGTTGGGGAAGAAAGCTCTTTTCTTTCCTCTGTCGGATTTCTCTCTTGCTTCTTGGTCTTTGCACTTCCTCAGGTCACTGGCTGCTCTCCAAGGGCACCTAGAGACGGCCCTGCCTGCAAACCACCCAGGACCCAGTGACATGGGGAGGACCAAGCACTGTTTCAGTCCAAGCCAGTGACAGCTACCTGAATTCAACCAGTCCAAGCTTCCTGCTTGGTCAAAATGGCTGCAGGCCTGGGGGCTTGGTGGAATGTCTGTGTTTTTAGGAACTGAGTTGTCTGAAGGCCACACTCTGCTGCCAGCTGGCCTTTCCTCAGCCTTAACCTCCACTCATCCCCTGGTGCTCAGCTTCTCCTGGCCTTGTGGACAGGTGGGTAGGAGGGGAGAGGGGATTGGCTTCTCCTAGCCTTGCGGACAGGTGGGTAGGAGGGGAGAGGGGAAACTGTGGAGGTCAGCAGCCCTAAAGCTGATGGAGTGTGTTCTGGGAGGGACAGGCGCTCTCCGTCGGCAAGGGCAGAAGTAGAAGTTGTTTCCTGAGCGTTGGATGATTAGGATGGGAGGTACCTGAGGTTCTCTCAGCCCAAGAGGGTGCAGATGGGTAGAGACAGGCTTCACTGTGCCTTCCAGCTGCTTTCCGCTCCCTGGGCTCCAGTTGAGTCCCAGGGCTGGCAGAAGAGCTGGCAGGGATGTCCTAGAAATGGGGGTTGGTTCCTCTAGCTACCCCGGCTAAGGATACTCCTAGGACACTCTAAGCCACCGTGAGCCCTTAGGAGCCCAGCTCCTGTTGGAGGGAGCATCCAGCATCACTGCGTGCCCCAAGGAAAAGCAGCAATAAAGGGGGACACTGGGACCTAGAATGTGGTGAGAGAGGTGGCATTCTCTGACTCAGAGAGACTGCTCTTGCGCCAGCTAGGGAAGAGCTGGCACAGGGAGGCAGGGCCGGTACAGCCCAGCTTGGTCAGGAGCCGCGACAGGTCACTGCGGAACTTCACGCCGGCAAAAGTGTAGAGCATGGGGTTGAGGCAGCAGTGGGCCAGGCCCAGGAACTCACACATGGTGATGGCCACGGGGAGAGAGCCATTTAGCTCGCAGGTATTGTCCACAGCCTGCAACCTCACCAGGGTGTCCAGGAAGATGACGATGTGGTAGGGTGACCAGCAGAGGAAGAAGATGCTCGTCACCAGGATGGCCACCCTGACTGCCTTCTGCCGCTGAGGGCGCCGCTGGGCCTGGCGCAACCGGTGCACTACCCCCACGTAGCACCAGCCCATCACCAGCATGGGCAGCAGGAATCCCGCCACGTGGTAGAGGAATCGGGAGGTGAACCAGGCATGCGTTTCGGCTTGGTTCTCTTGGGAGAAGGTGCAACGTGGCAGGGAGTTGTTGGGATGGGCTTGGCTGACTTTGGCGAAGAGAATCTCTGGCAAGGCAAAGAGGAAGCCCACCAGCCAGATGGTCCCGCAGGTGATGTGGATGGAGAGGAGGCGGCGGTGGCGGTAGGCGTGGACGGCGTGGACAATGGCCAGGTAACGGTCCACGGCGATGCAGGCCAGGAGCAGGCTGCTGCAGTAGAAGTTGATTTTGTGCAAGGCAATCACAGTTTTGCAGAGGAAGGTCCCCAGGACCCAGCCCACAGAGCCCTCGGCCACGGCAAAGGGCAAGATGAAGACCAGCAGGAGGTCGGCCACGGCCAGGTGGAACAGGAAGGTCTCCGTGGAGCTGCGTGTCTGCCGGTGCCGCTCCAGGATCACCAGCACCAGGACGTTGCCGATCACGCCCAGGAGGAAGATGAGGCTGTAGGCCACGGGCACGAACACAGCCTTGAAGGAGGCCATGAGGGGCCCCTCTGTGGCAGGGCAGAGGTGATTTTCCACCAGGGAGGTGTCGTTATAGTTGTCGAATTTGTCAAATTCCAAGAACTGCAAGGGCAAGGAGACGGGAGGGTGAGGACCTGTCTTTCCTCTCGGAGAGGAACCCTAGCTCTCTTGGAGGTTTTTCCTACATAGGCTCCACTGACCAAATGTCAAGTTTCAAATTTCAATTTTGAACAAATCACTTTGTGTTTTCCAACTTGAGTTTTTTGCCTGTCAAAGGGATCGCATTCCTTAGAGTGGTGGTGCAGATGAAGGGAGGTGTGCGGGTGGCCATGCTTTGTAAGTGCTGAGGGGCTGGGCCCCATAAGTCAACTTGTGTTTTGGGGTCCTCATGTACGGAAGCCTGCAGCCTTGGGGGCTGGAGTCAATTTGGGGTATGGACCTGGTTGGTACAAGGACCCGTCTGTTTCAGTTCTGAGCAGAACAGTCGGGCACTGCAACTTAGCATCGTGCTGGGGGCTGGGGGTGGGCGGGTGCTGACGTGGCCTGCGGCTCCCTCCTCATGGGTCTCACTGTTCCTGACCGTCTCCGTTATCACTGAAATGGCAGTAATAGCCTCCCATCTGGTTCAATATGCACAACCCGCTCAAGGTATGTAATAGTATTCCTATTTCACAGATGTGTCTTGCTAAAGATCAGGTTTGTGTGAACTGACATTTATCTACTTCCAAAGCCAATACTTTCCACTGAACAACCCTGCCTGGGCTTCCTTCTAGGGGCAGCAGATGCAGGTTCCCTGCTACTTCCCATCACTGGCAACCTCCCTGCAGCTAGGAGCACTCAGAAGCAGAAAGCCCAGAGGCAGACAGAGGCAGGAGAAAGTGAGGGTGACCCAGGGAGACTGGCAGGAGAGAAGGAGAGAGCCTACTCCAAGTGCAGGGGGCGTGCCCATGATGTCTCCGGAAGTTCCCTCCTCCCCATCCTCCTCTTCCTCTCCCCATCACCCCACCTCCATCACCCCAGCACTCAGGTTGTTTACCCAGCTAACCACAAAGGAAGACATGTGCCTGTTTTCACACCTTTCACTCACAGCTGTCCCCTGCACCTGTTCCTCCTCACCTCCCAGCTCTGTTCTTCCCACCCTCCCTACCCAAGCCACTCCCCAGGCAATTCAAAATCAATTATAACCAACCTATGTGGGTTCAAAAAGGCAATACTATAAATGATGAGCCCCAGGGAGGCAGAGGATAGGATGGGGTACCCTGTCCACCAGGCTCCGGGTGGCTTAATGCTGCCCCCATTTTAGGAGAGCAAGGCCCCCCCACAAGGAGGGGGTGGGCACACTGGGTGCCACAGGGCTTTCTTGCCTCTCCGGAGCCACAGTTGTGGGTCACACACTCACTCCTAATGCTGAGCAGACCCATTCCCCAGCCTGGGTCTTTCCTTCTGGCTCTGGGGGAATGGGGCTCTGTGAGAAGCAGGTGTGGGAGATACATCAGTGCAAGGGCAGAGCCATCTGCCAACTCTTCCCACAGCATCCCTCTGCCATTGCCTCAGTCTAGTCTTCCTTCTCTTCACGCTAACACTCAGGAGACCATCTCTCCATGGGTCCCGTCTCCACCAGCTTCTCTACTCCTGTCCACGTCCTGCACAGAGGACGGGGTGCGTGTTCTAAAACACAAATCCCACTGCCTCAGTGTTCTGCTTAAAGTCCTTTGCCGGTTCCCCATCACCTATAAGCAGTGGTTTTCTTTTGTTTTTTGTCTTTATTTATTTATTTTTTCAATTTCACTTTTTTTTTTTTGAGGTGGATTTTTGCTCTTGTTGCCCAGGCTGGAGTGCAGTGGCAGGATCTCGGCTCACTGCAACCTCCGCCTCCTGGGTTCAAGCAATTCTCCTGCCTCAGCCTCCCGAGTAGTTGGGATTCCAGGCATCTGCCACCACACCCAGGTAATTTTTTTGTATTTTTAGTGGAGACAGGGTTTCACCATGTTGGCCAGGCTGGTCTCGAATTCCTGACCTCAAGTGATATACTCATCTCGGCCTCCCAAAGTGCTGGGATTACAGGTATGAGCTACCGTACCAGGTCTCAATTTCACATTTAATAACAAAGTCAACTATAAGAAAAAGTCATATTTGTGATAATGTTCGTCAGTAGAAGATTGATTGGAGTCTGGGCATGGTGGCTCAGGCCTGTAATTCCATCACTTTGGGAGAACAAGGCAGAAGGATCACTTGAGCCAAGGAATTTCGGAATGCAGTGAACTATGATCATGCCACTACACTCCAGCCGGGGTAACAGACCAAGACCCAGTCTCAAAAAAAAGAGTGGAGTAAGCCAAACTTAGTGCCATTCACACATTGCTAAACTTCAGCACTGCTGGGCACAGTGGCTCCCAGCACTTTGGGAGGCTTAGGTGGGAGGATTGCTTGAAACCAGGAGTTCAAGACCAGCCTGCACAACATAGCGAGACCTCAACTCTACAAAACATTTTTTTTTAAAATAAAGTTTAGAACTAATTGCAGAACATCCCATGCAGCAGGATTCCATGGAATTTCTCTCCCAAACACACACCTTTGTTTTTGTTTTTTGATAGATAGTGTCTTGCTATGTTGCCCAGGCTGGAGTGCAGTGGCTATTAATAGGTGTGATCATAGCACACTACACCTCGACCTCCTGGGCCCAAGTGATCCTCCTCCTGCCTCAGCCTCCTGTGTAGCTGGGACTGCAGGTATGTGACAGCAGCGCCCAGCTCCAAGGACTTTCTTTAGAGTACCCATGACTGTGTGTGTGTGTCACAGGGTTCCCCTGGGGTGGAGAGTGGTGGTGTGGCTCCAGGCTCCCCTCCTTGACTTTAAACTATAGCTCTCCACTTTTGACTTGTGTAGTGCTTCACAAATAAGCTTTTGTTGAAGAAAACGGTTCTACTTTCATTTGAAAACCATGGACCTGTGGGATGAAGTCTAACCTCCCCAACAGAGCCCTTATGTTCCTCCCAAATGTATATTCCTCTGACCTTTCAAACTTTGTCTTCTATTAATATATTATTGCTCTAGGTCACCCCTTGGCCTTTTCCTTCTGCCTAGCAGGTCTTTCTTTCCAAATTGGCCTATCTAATTTCTACCCTTCCTCCAAAGCCGAATTCAATCCCATCTTCCCACATCCTTGCTGGCTCCCCTCTTGGAATTCTCTCTTCTCCTTATGATGCGTGTGCATTTATTACAGCACCCAGGGTTGGGATGACCACTTTCTAACCAGATGGCAAAAGTCTTAGAAGCAGGCCTTCTGTGTCCCCCTCCCAAGGTCATGTGTTTTACATAGGACAGATGTGTGCTGACCTGCTCTGAAAGCAGTTTCCCAGAGAAGGCCAGGAGCCCTGATAATCTGAGACTTAGGCTAGTGTCTCAGCAGGGACTCACTCCGTCACCTTCTGCATTCTGCCTTCTTCCAATAACCTTGACCGCCTGGATCCTAGATCCTATCTTGACTGCTCTCTCTCTATTGGGAGCTATTTCCAGTATTGTCATTGAGCACACCCACTTGACTAATACTGGAATTCAGCAGTCTTCACGCAGAGCCAAGCCATTCATGCAGAGGGAGGAGAGCAGCAGGGCCTGGGGCGGTCAGCAGGGCTGAACTCCACCTACCTTGGCTGTGCCTGGGTGAGGGCTTAGGTCCAACCAGCCTATCTGACCCAGAAAGCCCTGGGTTTCTGTCCCTAGGGCTCCCATCTCCTGAGAACCAGATTTAGAGGGGGGTTGGGAGGGGCCTGTCTCTTCCTCCTTGCCAAGAGGTATTTGTTTGGCAGCGTCAGAGAGAGGAAGATGGGAGGAAGCTGGTTTGAGGGGTGCTGGGAACTGACGGCACATCTCAGCAGGAGGTGTCAAACAGACGTTTTGGGGGTTCAGGAGTGGCACGTGTTAAAGCCACTTCCCACACATAGGAGTTCTAGCTCCCCCAATCTCCCCCAAACTATGGAGAGAGGCAATAAAGCAAGGTTGGCTCTTTCCTCATGGGAAGTTGAGGAATCAGGAATCCTGAATACTGTGGGGCATGTGGTGCTGAGGAAGCCCTCCAATCCCGTGCCCAGAGGGAGCGCAGGGCGGCCCGTTTGTGTGAGCGGTGTGCCCATTCTTTGACATGAAAAGCTGCAGAAACCCAAGGCCCTCATGCACACACGCACTCTGACAGCAACACCCACCTTGCATAGACACAGGTCCCAAGATGGGCCACACCAGCGTGTGGCATAGACAGGCACCCAGCAGACAACAACCTGGTCATAGGCCAGGGCCACATGCCCCAAAGAAGGCAAGAAGCACAATGACCAGAATGAGGCTGAGTGGAGCTAGAATCTAGTTAGAAAATTGCTGTGAGCACTGGGGAGGAGCAGGGGCTGTAACAGTGTCCAGTATTGAGGGGCTTAGGGGAAGGTGCGGGGTATAAAGAGATGCAAAGTACTTGGCCTGTGGTAGGGCCCAAAATGTTACTCTTCTCCTTCCCTCCACTGTAGGATGCAGGCTCCTCCCTGGATAATTAAGTTTCCAAGCCCCACCTCACTTCTCCAAATAACGAAGCTGCCCCACTGCCCAGCACTGACCAGCATGAAGCTCAGCTTACATTTGCTAATGGGGATTCTATGTCAGCAGGTACATTGGGCAGGGGTGTCTAGCATGCCTCAGGGATCTATCCTGGGTCCCCTCCTCTTCAGCACTCTCAACCCAGCTTTGGGGGCACTTTCAGGTAACACAGAGTTCTTTTTTTTTTTTTTTGAGACGGAGTCTCGCTCTGTTGCCCAGGCCGGAGTGTAGTGGCGCGATCTCGGCTCACTGCAAGCTCTGCTTCTCGGGTTCATGCCATTCTCCTGCCTCAGCCTCCTGAGTAGCTGGGACTACAGGCGCCCGCCACCGCGCCCGGCTAATTTTTTTGTATTTTTAGTAGCGACGGGGTTTCACCGTGGTCTCGATCTCCTGACCTTGTGATCCGCCCGCCTCGGCCTCCCAAAGTGCTGGGATTACAGGCGTGAGCCACCGCGCCCGGCCCAGAGTTCTTTACAAGCTGGAACCATGGGCCCAACCTAACCAGATGAAATTGTGTGGGGAAAAATATACAAGCCAGGACTCAGGTTTAAAACTTTACCCATCCAGGGATAAGTTAGGGAAGACCAGGTAACAACAGTTCGTAAGAAACACTTGGGAGTTTGTTGCCTACAAGCTTAAGATGAGTCATGGGAGTGACGTGGCCAGCAGAAGGTCCACCGTTACCTTCATCTGTTCACCTAGAACAGATGAAGTGGGCAGCCGGCACCAGCCCAGTTTGGTTGGTCTGGACAAGGATGACCACTTTGTTGAGGGGCTTGGAAAACCCTGCCCGTGGAGGAAGTTTTCAGGTACTAGGGGTGTAGTGTCTGGGACAGAGAAGACTTGTGTCCATGAGGGCTGATGTCACGGATTGGAAAGAAACTCCATGGGCAAGAGGGCAGCAATGGACTCTTGCTGTGGGCTTCCAGGGGCAGTCCAGAAGGACTGGGCAGAAGCTGAGGGGGTAGAGTTTCAGTCAAAGGCGGGAGAACTTTCTAACAGGCAGAACTGTCCAGCAATGAGATGGGACCCTTGGGAAGGAGAGGAACGTTTGAGCCCAAGTGTGCAGGAAGCGATTCCTGCCCTGGGAAGAAGCAGGCTGGACTCTGCCTTCAAATGTCCCTCACTCTCACTCCCAGATTTTCTGTCTGTCCTGCCCTGCCTGGGGCTGAGCTGGTTCTCAGCGTGATCTCCGCCTAGCTCAGTAGCTGGAGACTTTGCTTTTCTAGTCCATTCTGCCACCAGTGAATGCCCCAGCCTGACCTTACTTCTCAGCCTCGAGGAGGGGGCAGGGCTGCCTGCGTGCGTGGCTCACTCAGGCCGAACCCCAGGACTCCAAGGCCTGAGTCATGCTGGCCACGGGAGGTGTCTGCACACAGACGCCAGTCATTGCTCTGGCCACAGGGAGCATGCAAGCTCCATCTCCTTTTATGTCCCTGTGTGGATATTCCCAGCTGAGAGTCGGGAGCTGTGAGTGGAGCCGGCCAGGGTATCTGTCATTCCAGCCTTCGGTGGCTTAAGGGGTGCAGGGGTCTGGAGGAATGAGGCTGGGCTATGGGTGAGGGTGTAGGTCTGTATCCCTTAGCCCGTCTTTCTTCAGGAGGCCCACAGCCCTTAAAGACCATCTGAGACTCTGGCTTGCCATTTGTCACATCTCCCTTGCTACACCCATAGCCTTCAGGGACAAGCCTATGAGACTCCTCTTCCATCTCTTCCCACGGGTTTTGGCCATTAGAAGCAGGTACTGTGCTGGATGTGGTTTTAGGGGGAGAGTTTAAGCTACTCCAAGCCTCTGCGGCAAGTCTTGAGGCTTAAAGGGGCCCCACCTGGCACCCCAGCGTCTCTTTGCCCTTTGGATACAGGGTCACACAATCCAAGGTGCAGATAGACAGGCCTCCCAGGTGTGTGTGGCAGCCTCTTGAAACCATCTCCTGGGCTGGAAATATTTTGCCCCACCACTCTTGAAAGAACGCTCATGCTTGTGTCCTGATTCTCAGGTCCACATACACGGCCACTGTTGATGCCGTTCTGCTAGAGGAGTGGGATCAGCTGCAGACTGCAGCCCTGGGGAAGGCAAGAGTTCCTGACGAGACTCTGCAGTCTGTATGCCTGAACCCAGATTCACTTTGACCCTGACCCATCCTCAGCCTGGCCTTGGGGCTCTCCCTCATGTCTGACCCCTCCAACCACACCCCCAGTTGGGCCTGCTCTGCTGGGGTTGCTCTGGGACTTTTGATCTGATTGGAGGGGGCGGGTGGAGAACCTCCCTTCCCCCCCAGAAACAGCCTGAGCTGGTTTTGGTTCCTCTTCTTCACACCTCCGTGATGAAATGAGATGGTCCACGTGGACGGGCTGTGTAGCCTGTGATGCTCTAGTCACACTGAAGTCGTGATGTGTGGTAATTATCTATGGAGAGGGGTCATAGAAAGCCAGGCTCTGGGGCTTGGGCCAGCTTCACCCTGCGCTATAGCAGCTTCCCTTCCTGGTTGGTGTGCCGGGTGGGGCTGGAGGTATAGTTTATGACCAGCCTCTGCGGGTGCCCCAGCCCAGGCCAGGCCCTGGTTCTGTTGGAAGGAGGCTCTCAGACCAAGGTTCGCATAGACAGGGGCTGCTCTAGGTCTGCCTGGATCTGCCTTTCCAGCAGGATGGGTCCCTGGCATGCCCACCCCAGGACCTGGAATCTTCTGGTTCCTGGCTCTCAGCCGTCTAATTTTTTTTTTCTATTTGGACCATTCATTCTTGAGAATTAGCAGCCCCTCCACACCTCCCGGCCCCTGCCTTAAAGAAGTGGACATTTTAAGCGGCTCAAGTTGGTCTTCGAGTTCAACAGGACAAATGGAATACAGAATGACCAACCTGGCTTATGGCCAGGAGCCCCCAGTTCCTTTTTTTTTTTTTTTTTTTTCCTGGCAAGTTTGTGTAGCCAAAAGTCCCCAGTTCTTAGCCCAACATTAGAGTGTAAAACCCAGTGTTCAAGGAATATGAACCAATACTTGGTATGGGCAAGGACAAGGAGGAGACTAGGAAGCAGAAGGAGTAGAAGAACCTGGACTAATTCCAGAGGAAAATGGTGAGCTAAGAGCCTTACTGCATCACAAATCAATAAATACTTATTGAGAAGCTGCTACACGCAAGATTCTCCTGCCTGTACCACTATGCCCGGGGTTTTTGTACTGTGACACTGAGGGACAGTCTGCCAAGCTGCTCACGGCCCTTCAGTGAGTAGGTGGGGGTGGAGGAGAGGGTCTGTGTTCTGAGGGGACATTGGCCCTGGAGACAGGGTATGTAGGAGATTCGTGAAGGGAGAACGACGCACTGGTGGCTGGCTGAAGAACTCCAGAGCCCAGATGGTCCAGGACTCCGGACTCCTGGCTAGACCCTGAGTGAGGGATCCAGATATTTGAATGCCTGGCTGAGGATCACTCATTTGAGGTGTGACATGAAGCAAGTCACTAGGTCCCTTTCCCCCAGATGTAAGTTTTCTTGGGACATACCCTGCTGCCCCTGGCCCCTGCCACTACCTGTCTCTAGTAGGTCACTCAGTGAGGTGAGACGCGCAGTTAGGGGAAACTCAAGGTTTCTCAGAAGCTGGGACCTGCCAGGTCTCCAGTCGGTTACTAAGAAATCCAACTGGGTCAGGGCTCGTGGTCAGTTTGAAGCTGCAGGCAGAGGAAGACGCCCAGTAACCGAATCAGGCAAGGCCAGCGGCCGTGACTGGGGACCAGGGTGGGAGCACATTGCCCCTCTGGGGCTGCGGGTTTTTAGTCTGATTTGGGATATCGCCCAGACTCTGTGATTAGACTCAGGGCAGCTTCATAGGCGTGCAACTGGTGCAGTCACACGGGGCCTGCACCCAGCAGGACCCCTGACTTGGTTTAGTGCTCTGCTGTTGCTTTCTTGATATTTTTAATAATTTTTCAATAAGGGGCCCCATGTTTTCGTTTTGCACTAGATCCCACAAATTATGAAGCAGGTCCTGATTAGATGAATGGTCCGGCTCTGATTCTGCTTGCGGTTTGGATCCGAGAGGCCAGGCTTTGGGTAGTTAGCCCTTCTGCTCACTTTCTCCCCGTGTCCTACTTACACTTCCCAGCCTTGAGATCTGGGCAAGCGAGAGGCAGGCTTCTCCCAGCAGGTCTGGGAACACGGTTGGTGGAACTACAAAGTCCACTCCAGCTGGGGGAGCAGGAGGGAGTCAGACAATATCTCAGGGTAAGTTTGGGCCAGGAGAGTTGGTAGGAGCCAGGGTTTGGCTCCTTCATGATCTAACCCAGAATGCAGTCCCAAGACAAGTCCTCTCCCCAGGGGGAGAAAAGACCGTGAAGAAGTTTCCAAGAAACCCTTACAACCAGCCTCTGCCGTCGGCTCACAAGGAACCCTGTGTTTCTCCGGTTGAGCTGCTCCACACATACACCTTTTGGGAGCCCAGTGACGACCAGGTCAACTGCACCTCTACGCTTCACTGCAGAGACATGAGTGCTGGCAGTGTAGTGCTGGGGACCATTTTCTTAGCCCACCCAAGAAACCTTTCCAAGAATACCTTATCTCTAGAGATTCTACAACAGGTTCCAAGACATTTTTTCAGATTAACAGTTTTCTCACCCTGCTCCCCGACTCCAACCTGCTGGGATCCTCTTCCTTGCTACCATCTGTTCTCATACTTCTCAGTTTAGCACATAATTGTTGTCTAATAGCTTCCAGTGAGTGATTTTTTTTCCTCTGGCCAGAGCAGAAGCTATTTGAGGGCAAAGATCAGATCCTCAACTTCTCCACCCAACATAGAATGTAGTGCCCTGATGATATAATCATATGGTAAGAGATGAACAGCTATGCATTGATTGACTGATGAGCAATGCCAGCCTCCTTATGGTAAGAAAACCTCCAAAGGTACTTTCCTGTCTAGTTCCATATTCCCACCCTAAGAGAAAAGGAGAGAAAGAATGGGGAAGTGAAGTATCCTGTTCCCGGTCACATAGCAACTCAGAGGAGGATGCAGGGCCTGAACCCATGTCTTCCAGCTTCCTCTAAAGGATGTCTACTAAGGACAGCAGCTCTCCTTCTCTGCTTCTTCCACAGAATGGAAAATAAACTCTTAAAGGGCAGGAGCTGACTGACCTGTCTAGATTTTACAGATCCACAGCGGGAGAGGATTCCCACGCTGTCCCCTCTCTCTCGGACTCTGGCAGAGGATATTAGAATTCCAGGCAGGGCCTCGGCGACAGGAAGCTACCCGTGTCTACTCACCAGGTCCTCCAGGTTCTCGAGGTCCATTTCCAGCATTAGCGGGTAGTTCATGGCTGTGCCGGCTGTGAGTCACCAGACTGGTCACTGTCTGATGTTGAGAGGCTCCCCGCCAGGTGCCTCTAGAGAGGTGGCAGCCGTCAGCTGCAAATTTAAGCAAATGAGCTGCGCATCGTCTCCTGGGGCTGTAGGGCCGCGACCTGCCTCACAACTCATCACTTTTTTTTTTTTTTCCACTGGGTCTTTTCTGTTTTTTTGAAGAAAGAGGGAAAATCCCCCACAGCATCAGTGCTAGTCAAGCATTTCAGCCTCTTTCCCGGCAACAATTGTCTCAACTGGGGCCTATGACTAGTTTAAAGGCTGCTCTCTCTTCTCCTCCCTATACCCCCAATAAGGGGCTCACAACTTGTAATGAAACCACCACACAAAGTCAGCAGACTGATGAGGGAAACTCCTGATCAACAGAGAACAGGAGAAGAGCGCTCCCAGCAACCTCTCCTCCAAGCCACCTCCAGACCTTCATCTTCCTCACCACTAGGGCGATCAACCATTCCAGTCTGCCCAGGACTGAAAAGTCCCTTGACTTGGGAAACCCCTAAGTCCTGGCAAATCAGGGCACTTGGTCAAACTACTTGCTACCATCCTTTTGCCCAACGGGGGCAAAACCCCTTCCCTTCTCAGCTCAAGTTCAGAAAAGATAGGTTAGAATTTTTCAAAGGGAACAACAGTAAAACAACACTGGAAGACAAAAATGAAATCAACTCTGGAAGGCCGAGGCAGGAGGACTGCTTGAGGCCAGGAGTTGGATACCAGCCTGGGCAACATAGCAAGACCCTGTCTCTAAAAGAAAAAAAAAAAAAGTGAAATCACCAAGAAAAGCATACAGTTACAGAGTCATTTTCTGACTCAAAAATAATGATGTTCTATCTATAAATTAACTTGGTTTGCTGATAAATTATTAACCTCATAGACTACCAGGCTAGAGAGGACTTCAGAGATCATCCAGTCTAACCCCCAATTTTTATGCAGGAGGTCCGTGAGGCTGAGAGGGAGAGCAACTTACCCAAGATCCCACTGCTAACCAGTGGCAGAGCTGGGACTTGAACTCAGGTCTTCTGACTCCACCTTTAGTGTTTTCTCTACTCCAAGCTGCCACTCTTGCAGGCGCTCATAACCTCTGTCCTTTCCCTCAACTCTGCCCTGTCTGAGGGCTGTTTCCTTTAAGAAGCCCTTTTGTAGATGTTGATCAATTTCCCTTCCAAGTCTCATTTGTGGCTTTTTCTTCCAGAAGTGGGCATTTCCTCTCTTGGTCCACAATGATGTGAAAACAATGTCTGCACGCATAGCGGCACCCACACATGGTGGCTGTTTCTTGGCCCCACCCCCACCTTTGTATCATGCTCCCTTTCAACCAAATCGCCCTTCGCTGGGATCCTACCCTTTCCAGTGCTCTCCTTCACCCTCTCCTCCATATTCACCTTCCCTCTTTCCCCTCTTCACACCTTGCTTACTGAAGATGCTTACCTCACTGCATCCCCAACAGATGTACCATTCGTTATTATTTTTTTTTTTTTTGAGACAGAGTTTTGCTCTTCTTGCCCAGGCTGGAGTGCAATGGCATGATCTTGGCTCACCGCAACCTCTGCCTCCCAGGTTCAAGCAATTCTCCTGCCTCAGCCTCCCGAGCATCTGGGATTACAGGCATGCCCACCACGCCCGGCTAATTTTGTTTGTTTATTTATTTATTTATTTATTTTGAGACAGAATTTTGCTCTTGCTGCCCAGGCTGGAGTGAAATGGCGTGATCTCAGCTCACCACAACCTCCACCTCCCGGGTTCAAGCAATTCTCCTGCCTCAGCCTCCCGAGCATCTGGGATTACAGGCATGCCCACCACGCCCGGCTAATTTTGTTTGTTTATTTATTTATTTATTTATTTTGAGACAGAATTTTGCTCTTGCTGCCCAGGCTGGAGTGAAATGGCGTGATCTCAGCTCACCACAACCTCCACCTCCCGGGTTCAAGCAATTCTCCTGCCTCAGCCTCCCGAGTAGCTGGGATTACATCCCGGCTAATTTTGTATTTTTAGTAGAGATGGAGTTTCTCCATGTGGATCAGGCTGGTCTTGAACTCCCGACCTCAGGTGATCCACCCACCTTGACCTCCCAAAGTGCTGGGATTACAGATGTGAGCCACGGAGGCCAGCCAACAGATGCATCATTCTTAGGTTTAAACAGCCTGAAGCGTTTCCAGCCTCTGTTGGTGGTATTGGGGTCGTTTCCTTGCTCTTCTCCATTCACTGCCTTTAGAAGCTGCTTTCAAGGAGGAAGGCTTTCAGGACAAGGCATCACACTTCTTCTCTAGCACTTCCAGTCCTGATACCTCCGGGAGGAAGCTGCCCCAAGGTTTCCTGTGTCCCAGGCTTGCTGGGAACTCCTCATCCTTCCATTCACCCTATTCTCAACATCCCTGCCCCTCCAATCCCTCAGCATACTCGACTTAGCCTTGGCCACCCGGCTAGGGACATTGATCAGGAAGGAGTACAGCCTATAGAATCACAGAGGAATTGAAAGGAACTTTGAAAGATAAACCAGACTATCCTCAACCACACCCCCACCCCCAGCAAATGCAAGATTCCTGTCACTGCATCCTTATCAGATGATCACTCAGCATCAATGAATACAAACATCAATGAAGGTGAGACATTTGCTCCTTTCAATAGATCATGTTTCAATGGAGAATGGTTTCATGATTAGAAACTTATTCCTCACGATGAGTCAAAATATGTCTTCCTGTAACTCCACCCCAGAGGTCCTGGCTGTCCCTTCTGTCTGGACTGTCTAACTCTTCTTCCAATAAGCATCCTCTGAAGACAGCCAGCACATCCCGAGAGTCTTCTTGTCTCCAAAACACACTTCCACAGTGTCTTCAGTCGTTATTCCAAGACTTGGTTTCTGGGCCCTTTGACACCCTGTTTTTTGACCTCTGGGTGATTTCTGGGACATAGATAAGTCATCCTTGGGTCTATCCAAGTTCTGATGGCAAATATTGACAGGATGAAGCCAAAATCAGAACTCTGCTTCATGTCATTAGAGACCTACTATACCCAAAGGTCAGGAAAGACTTCATGGAAGTCTTGGCCACTGGAGGCTTGGAGAGAGCGAAGGCTTGGTGTGCCTGGAGGGGCGGACAGGGTGGAGAGTGTGGGACATGATGAGAACTGCTTGGAAAAAATGTGTAGAAAGAATTCCCTGGCCGGGCATGGTGGCTCACGCCTGTAATCACAGCACTTTGGGAGGCTGAGGCGGGTGGATCACAAGGTCGGAACAAGACCATCCTGGCTAACATGGTGAAACCCCATCTCTACTAAATATACAACAAATTAGCCGGGCGTGGTGGCGGGCGCCTGTAGTCCCAGCTACTCAGGAGGCTGAGGCAGGAGAATGGCGTGAACCCAGGAGGCGGAGCTTGCAGTGAGCCAAGATTGCGCCACTGCACTCCAGCCTGGGTGACACAGCGAGACTCCATCTCAAAAAATAAATAAATAAATAAAATAAAATAAAATAGAGAAAGAATTACTTGGGGCTCATGCCTGTAATCCCAGCACTTTGGGAGGCCAAGGTGGGCAGATCACGAGGTCAAGGGATTGAGACCATCCTGGCCAACATGGTGAAACCCCGTCTCTACTAAAAATACAAAAATTAGCCGGGTGTGGTGGTGCACACCTGTACTCCCAGCTACTCAGGAGGCTGAGGCAGAAGAATCGCTTGAACCTGGGAGGTGGAGGTTGTAGTGAGCTGAGATGGTGCCACTGCACTCCAGCCTGGTGACAGAGTGAGACTCTGTCTCAAAAACACACAAACAAAAAGAACTACCTTGTGCTCGGCACATCATAGGCATTCTGTGTGTGGTGATGTGGCTATGGCAATGATGATGATGATGATGGTGATGATAGGGCAGGGGGAGGAGTGAGGAGGTGATTGAAGCATGTACTGGACAAGGTAGGAGCCGCTCTTATGGCCTTAGTGCAGTGGTACAATCAAGGCTCACTGCAGCCTTGACCTCCTGAGCTCAAGCCATCTTCCTGCCTCAGCCTCTCAAGTCGCTGGGACTACAGGCACATGTCACCTCACCTGGCTAATTTTATGTTTTTTGTCGAGACAAAGTTTCACCATGTTGCCCAGGCTGGTCTTGAACTCTTAGGCTCAACCGATACGCCTGCCTCAGACTCCCAAAGTGCTGGGATTATAGGCGTGAGCCACCATGCCCAGCAGCCATGAGTTCTAATATTGCCTTGAGAAGGCTCACAGAGTTACTGCCTCTACTAGAAACCATGATCTTACAGTCTTCACACATAAAGCCAGACTAGCTCCCTAGGATAGAGAGGGCAATGTCTAAGCTGTGATCCTTTGCCTCTGAAGGGGAGATGTCAGAGGTTCCACCTGTGTGTGACAATCAGATGGGAGAGGACCCTTCCAGGTCAAGCAGCCCAGGTTTTATTTCAGTTTGCATCTTGTTTATATTTCACCTATGCAAGATCCCAATCCCCACCCCATAGGCAGTCTAACTGAGGCTAAATTGTTTTCTAGCCTTCTCGTCAAAATGACCACCGGAGGCTGAGCCTGGTAGCTCACCTCTGTATTCCCAGCATTTTGGGAGGCCAAGGGGGGAGGATCACTTGAGCCCAGGAGTTTGAGACCAGCCTGGGCAACATAGGATACCCCATCTCTACAAAAACTAAAAATATTGGCTGCACACTAGTGGTTCCAGCTACTCAGGAGGTTGAGGTGGGAGGATTGCTTGTGCCCGGGAGGTCGAGGTTGCAGCGAGCTGAGATTGCACCACTGCACTCCAGCCTGGGGGACACAGCGAGACTCTGTCTCAAAAAAAAAAAAAAAAAAAAAGACAAAAAGACTACTGATGCATCCGCCAAAGACTGGGTTTGTGTCTGGTTTAGGCATGGGTGGCTGCTTACATCAGCCTAGGTGGATTTTTCTCAGTAATTATACTTTACAGTCCATGGATTACGTTGAATTTCTATTTGTTCCAGAGATTAGATGCAATCACTTGTCTTAGAGTTCATTTTCCATATTCCACAGAAAAAGTAAGCTGTTCCACACAGTTTTGGGGTGCTGCTGCGGGGAACGGGCTGGGGTTTCCCCCTCTATTAACCTGGGACTCCCTCCCTCTCTGACTTTGCCAGAGACCTTGTTCTCTTCTTTCTCTAGGTC